GTACCCAACCATAATAAAAAAGAATACTACAATCTATATTTTAACGTTTTGTTATCCTTTCTTTTAGAGTTCCTGTCGCTGCCTAACTACGGCGGAATTGATGTATAAGCTGCTGCATGTTCGGAGCTACATTCTTAGCGGGAGTGAATTTCGTTCTCGGCATCGACAAGTGAGTGCTTTGAGTTTGCAAGTCTTCCGCTTCCTAGATTTCCGCCATTTTCACCTTTATGTCTTCTCCTTTTCTGTTCCATTACAGAGCACATCAACATTTTTTACCCCAATCCAAAGTTATTAACGCGGGCAACGGGAATCCTGGTTTGCTCGGGAACTGATTTTTTGTGTAAAATCGACGGGGTGTATAGGCGTTGAAACGTATCTTGCGTAGACCGCTGACACTCAAAACCGATATTACACAAAAAATCAGGGAACAGAGAAACGTAGGGATACCAATCTAAAATTATTAACGCGGGCAACGGGAATCCTGGTTTGTCTGGGAACTGATTTTTTGTGTAAAATCTACGGGGTGTATAGGCGTTGAGACGTATCTTGCGTAAACCGCTGACACTCAAAACCGATATTACACAAAAAAATCAGGGAACAGAGAAACGTAGGGATACCAATCTAAAATTATTAACGCGGGCAACGGGAATCCTGGTTTGTCTGGGAACTGATTTTTTGTGTAAAATCTACGGGGTGTATAGGCGTTGAGACGTATCTTGCGTAGACCGCTGACACTCAAAACCGATATTACACAAAAAATCAGGGAACAGAGAAACGTAGGGATACCAATCTAAAATTATTAACGCGGGCAACGGGAATCCTGGTTTGTTTGGGAACTGATTTTTTGTGTAAAATCGACGGGGTGTATAGGCGTTGAAACGTATCTTGCGTAAACCGCTGACACTCAAAACCGATATTACACAAAAAATCAGGGAACAGAGAAACGTAGGGATACCAATCTAAAATTATTAACGCGGGCAACGGGAATCCTGGTTTGTTTGGGAACTGATTTTTTGTGTAAAATCGACGGGGTGTATGGGCGTTGAGACGTATCTTGCGTAAACCGCTGACACTCAAAACCGATATTACACAAAAAATCAGGGAACAGAGAAACGTAGGGATACCACTCTAACTCGGGTACTTTTCAAATTGGAAACTTATGCTAACTTCTTAGTTTCTTCCTATCTCTACAGGCGATGGTAGCACGCTTTGGGATTGCCAAGCAAACTCTATTGATCATGATTATTTCTTCCGCTTTCTTTTTTAAAGAGAGGGCGGTCCACACTACTACAACCTAAAATTATCAACGCGGACAACGGGAATCCTGGTTTGTTTGGGAACTGATTTTTTGTGGAAATTCGACGGAATGTATAGGCGTTGAAACGTATTTTGGGTAAACCGCTGACACTCGAACCGATAACACAATAAATCAGGGAACAGAGAAACGTAGGGATACCAATATTAGAAACTTATACTAACTTCTTACTTTCTTCCATCTCTACAGGTGAGGGTAGCACGCTTTGGGATTGCCAAGTATACTGTATTGATCATGATTCTTTTTTTTCCGCTTTCCTAGACTTCTAACGTTTTCCTATTTATCTCTAGTATTGTTGTTTTAGATCGTCCACAACACTGGACTTTGTAGGCTTTGACTTTTATTCAGTCTTTCAGGGTCAAAGCAAAGATGAGCATAATTTAGGCTTAAAATTATTGGGGAGAGATTAGAATCCTGGACCCTGACTGACCACACACAGCTGCTTTTGCTTCCACTTCTGTATCTTCCCGTTTAAAAGTTTGGCTGGTGAGTATATCACGTTATGAATTTCTTTTCATTCTCCTTTTTAATATCTAGCCATTTTGAAGAAGCGACTTTTTAAAATATTTAGCTATAAAAAGTTGCGAAAAAACTTTTCTTAAAAACATTTAATAAATTTTAAAAAAGTTAGAAAATACACGACTTTTCGACGTTACCGGACGTCATTATCAAGTGAAAAGAAATACAATATGAATGTTCTATAAATACAGGAAAAACAGTAGTTCATTAAAAGGAAAGTAGCATATAAAAATATGTTACTAGTTAAACAAAGAGGTTAGAACTGATGGAGTCACTCTGAGTGCTGAGGCTAGGCCTCAGTTCTTTGATGACTAGCATTTCGTAAACAAGGCAGTCAAATTTCTCGTGGCATTTCTTGAGAACGCGAAATTGGCCCTCATTGAGAAGATTTTTGTCACCATGCACTTCTAATAAATGTTTACCGATAGCTGAATATTTGTGTTCGGCAATGCGTTGATGAAGGTGTCGGGCTGTGTAGCCAACATAATCTGCATCACACAGATCACGAGCAAATTTGTAAACAACGCTTTGCTGACTTACAATACTTGGCTTAATTTCTTTAGGCTTAAGATCTTGCTCCAATTTTTTGCTCACAAAAATGAGCTCATAAATTATACCGTTAATATGTTTATTCAGAATATTGCAACTAAGCCAGAAAAGAAAAGCGATAATGGCAACACGATCAGTATAGTTCTTCCATTCAAAGATCAGATAGCCGCTAACGCAGTGCGTAGGCAATTGCGTGATCTCAGCAACAAGATTGCCATCACTTTACAGCCTCCTCTTAGGAAAAAATGCGGAAGAGGAGCGTCCGTAAACAGCCTCAACAAATTTTCCCTTGCACTGAACTTGTGGAAGAATTATGCGATATCAGCCAGGACCGATAAAACTGTTATTCTTACCTTAGAATTCTCCTTTTTATTGCCAATACAGCTAATCAAATCAATTGTAGTGGTTAGTGTCCAATTGCTATTTTAGATCTGAGAATAAGGGGGCAGTTTACAGAGTTTTAACAGCTAATTTATAATGCTTCCTTGTTTTATGACGATCTGCCAAAGCAAAAGGACAAGAGTAAGAAAGTGGAAGAGGAAGATTAGTAAGCTGGACAAGGACATCAGGGATAAAACATCGGCCACACTGAATCAAAGTAAGTTTACAAGTCTTTCGCCAAGAAAAAATAACGGAAAAACCTTACTCAGTAAAATGTCTGTCAAAAGTCCCAGAGAGGCTTTTTTTCCAGTCACTGTTGAAGGAGAAATACCAAGGAGAAGAGAGGCCATTGCTGGTTTGCACGTGACGTTACGGCGGCCATATTGGAGGTCAAAAACAAAAGCATCTCTCTCCTCTGGTAACTTAACTCTGTTTTCAGGTAAATTGTTCAAGAAAAATTCTGTTGTATTGACCTTCAACCTGGCCGCCTTGTCACGTGGTTGCAAACCAAGAATTGGAGAGGGTTGCTTGATACATTCTGTTGAACGGGGTGAAGAGATTACACCAAAGTTTCAATTTAGCGGCCCAAAGTCTGATTCAGCCTTTAATGGAGCCATTTGAACTCAATTTCAACCAAAAAGAGCCCTTTAAAAAGCCTATTCCAGCCCACGCTGGGACACATTTCAACCCTTGGGTCCAAATTAGCCCTAGATAATCGTACAGTATTGTTGTTGAGAATTCATGTTAACATAACGTTTACCACGTAACCGATGCCAACTACCAATAGATGTGGTTAACACTAGATGCTCATATGCAGCCATTTACATTCTTAATATTCGATGAGTTAACGGACAATTTTAATTTTCTTTCTCATAATTAACAGCTAAACAAGGAAAGAGAACCTTGAGCCCCAATATAGTATCACATCTAACAGAGAAGTGGAACTTATCAGAATTGTTGTTCTGTGAAATAAAACTGGACTGTAAGAACAAGGCACTGAATGTGGAACAGAAAGATTGGACCCTAAAGAGCAGTGAATGAATATGCAACTTGAAATGCTGCAGGAATTTATGTCCTCTTCAAAACCATATCAGCAGATGCGATCAAGATCAAGTCACTTTTACAGAAAACATTTCGATAAATATAGGATGCTTCAAAACTAACCTTCGTTTTAGGCGGCCGTTTCTTTTTACCATGTTAAAGTCCCGTAGGAAGGTCTATGGAGCTTGAGCCTTGGTTCCTACCCAGATTTCCTGCCCGCATTTTTTCCCCTCGGGGTTTTTTTGCAATGGGGCAGGTTTTTTCTGGCCTCCGTCTGACCGCTTATATTTCAGTTGTAAGCGGTAGCTCAACTCTGCCAGATTTCAGTCTTGCTTCGTTTTTTAGCAATATCTTTCAGTTTACTCTGAGGTCAGTTGACCCAGAATAGGTTATAAGTTTTGGCGACATAAATTAAGATTGACTTTAGAATGTACACCTCCAGCCAGGGTTGTGAACTGTGTAATATGCCCTTGGCTATTAGCGTGTGTGCTTGGTTGGGTACGTGAGTGATAGCCTTGCTTTGGAAAAGACTGAGAAAACTTGAATTATTCGCAGATTACACGTACACTACTTGGCTATATCGTATAGCAGGGATGGTTCTTGCCAAGCCCTCCAAAAATAAACGTATATGCTTTGACATTATGTCTAAACTTAAAGTAAACAGTATTTAACAGTTGGAACTTTGTACATTAGTTCAAGAAATTGAAATTAAAAACGTTTTCCTTCATTTTAGCCTGAGAAAACAGCCGACATTTTGCGACTCTACCACTGGTTTCCCCGCCAAATGACGTCTGAGAAATGAGCGCAGAAATTCCATACTGATGACGCGTCAATACCCAGACCTGGGTAGTGCTTCTGATTGGTCGTGCCACGTGGGAAATTTGATTCAACCAGTGAGAAGCACTACCCAGATCTGGATAGTGATGCGTCATCAGTATAGAATTTCTGTGCTCGTTTCTCAGACGTCATTTGGCGGGGAAACCAGTGGTTACGTCGTCAAATGTCCGCTATTTTCTCGGGTCACCTTTATTGGTGTATATATATATATTTTTTTCATCGGTGTATGTTTGTTGTTTACTTCACATATACGCATACTCGAGCGAGTGCTATCTTCAAAGACATTGCAATCGTTCTCAAACGCTAGGTTTACGATCAGTGCATCTTACTAACAGTCACCTACAGATAAGTGACCTAGAATCTTAAGAAACAACAAATCTTGAAACTCAGAACTATGCAGAGAGCGCATGAGAGAATCATGGCGAGATCGTAAAACATCTCATTGGATCCGAGAAGAAACCAAAGTACCAGATATCATGGAAATAATATGCAAACTCAAATGGAACTGGGCTGGTTTTTTGGCGAGAAGAACAGACAACCGTTGGACAATCAGCATTACGTTCAGGACGCGCCGAGGACATACAAGGAACCGAGGAAGACCAAGGACGAGATGAAGGGAGGACTTGGATGGTTTCCAAAAACTGTCACCATGTCGCGCAAAAGTGGTCCAGTAGAGAAGAGAATCATTTCTAGCCTTTAAAAATATGCACTTTAGATAGTCGCATTTTTCCATATCTTCCAAAGGGGTTAACCCATGATTTTGGTAAAAAAAATGACATTTTTTACATTTTCTGTTTTGGGGCAAAAACCATCTTGAAATAATGTTTAGGGATCTTTTCGATAGAAAAGAGTCGTTTATAGCCTTTAAAAAATATGCACCTCAGATAGTCGCATCTTTGTTTTGTTTTGTTTTTTTTTTTTTTGTCAAAGGGGTGAACCCATGATTTATGTGAAAAAATGGTATTTTTTGCATTTTCTATTTTGGGGCAAAAAAAATCTTGAAATAATGTTTGGGGATCTTTTCGACAGAAAAGAATCATTTATAACCTATTAAGATATGCACTTCAGATAGTCGCATTTTTGCATATTTTCCATAGGGGTTAATACATGATTATGGTCAAAAATAGCACTTTTTTTCCGTGTCTGTTTTTAGGCAAAAATCATCTTGAACAAATGTTTGGGGATCTTTTCGACAGAAAAGAATCGTTTATAGCCTAAAAACAAGTACTTCAGACAGTCGTCATTTTGCGGTATCTTCGAAAGAGGTTAACCCATGATTATGATCAAAAAACCAAAATTTTTTCAGTACCTGTTCCTTAAATAATAACTGGCGATCTTTTAGATAGAAAAGAATCGTTTCTAGCCTTTAAAAATATGCACCACGGATAGTCGCAATTTTGCATATTTTTCAAAGGGGTTAATTCATGATTTTGATCGAAAATCGTGTTTTTTTTTCTTTCAGCTTTTGGGCAAAAATAATCATGAAATAATGTTTGGAGATCTTTTCGACAGAAAAGAATAATTTATAGGCTATAAAAATGTGCACTTCAGATAGTCGCATTTTTTAACCCATATTTTTCAAAAAATGGCATTTTAACCCATGATTTTGAACAAAAAAAATGGAATTTTTACGCATTTTTGTTTTGTTTTTTTCTGTTTTTAGGGCAAAATTTTTCATCTATTTTGAACAAATGTTTGGGGATCTTTTCGACAGAAAAGAATCATTTATAACTTATAAATCGTTTATAATTTTTTCATATTTTCCAAAAACAAGTACTTTTTTTCAGTTTCTGTTTTTTCAGACAAAGTCGTCATTTTGTCGTCATTTTGCGTATTTTCGAAAGAGGTTAACCCATGACTATGGTCAAAACACAAAATTTTTTTCAGTATCTGTTTTTGGGCGAAAATGTTCCTTAAATAATAATTGGCGATCTTTTAGATAGAAAAGAATCATTTCTAGCCTTTAAAAATATGCACCACAGATAGTCGCAATTTGCATATTTTCCAAAGCGGTTAACCCATGATTTTGGTCAAAAAATGGCATTTTATACATTTTCTGTTTTTGGGTAAAAATGATCTTGAAATACCGCTCGGAGATCTTTACGACAGGAAAGAATCGTTTATAACATTTAAAAATTTGCACTTCAGATAGTCGCATTTTTGCATGTTTTCCAAAGGAATTAACCCATGATAATGGTTAAAAAACGGAATTTTTTTCCGTTTCTGTTTTTGTGCGAAAATGACCCTGAAATAATGTATGGGGATCTTTCTTTTTGAAAACAATCGTTTCCAGCCTATAAAAATATGCACTTTAGATTATCGCACTTTTGCATATTTTCCAAAGAGCTTTAATAACCCTATGATTTTGGTGAAAAAGTGGAATTTTTTTGAATTTCTTTTTTTAGGCAAAAATAATCTTGAAATAATAATTGGGAATCTTTTATATAGAAAAGTTTAAATTATAGGCTATAAAAATATGCACTTCACATAGTCGCTATTTTGCATATTTTCCAAAAGGAAAATCCAATCTTTTCGACAGAAAAGAACAGTTTCTAGACTTTAAAAATTTGCACTTTAGATAGTCGCATTTTTAAGAAACCCATGATTTTGGTCTAAAAATGACATTTTTAAATTTTCTGTTTTGGGTGAAAACTCATCTTGAAATAATGCCTGGGGATCCTGGGAATAAAAAGAATCGTTTATAACCTTTAAAAATTTGCACTTCAGATAGTCGCATTTTTGAATATTTTCCAAAGGGGTTAACCCATGATTATGGTCAAAAAAAGGAATTTTTTTCGCTTACTGTTTTTGCGCAAAAATGGCCTTCAAATAATGTTTGGGGATCGTTTAGTTCGAAAAGAATCGTTTCTAGGCTATATAAATATGCACTTCAGATAGTCCAGTTTTGAATGTTATCCAAAGGGGTTAACCCATGATTTCGGTCAAAAAATGGCATTTTTTACATTTTCTGTTTTTGGGCAAAAATGATCATGAAATAAAGTCTGAGGATCTTTTCGACACTAAAGAATAGTTTTTTAACTTTTGAAAATTTGGACTTCAGATGGTCGCATTTTTGGATATTTTCCAAAGGGGTTAACCCATGATTATGGTGAAAAACGGAATTTTTTTTCGGTTTCTCTTTTTGTGCAAAAATGACCTTGAAATAATGTTTAGGTATCTTTTAGTTGGAAAAGAATCGTTTCGAGCCTATAAAAAATGCACTTCGGATAGTCGCATTTTTCCATTTTTTCCAAATGGGTTAACCCATGGTTATGGTATTAAAAAAGGAATTTTTTTCAGTTTCGTTTTTTGCTAAAAAATGAACTTTAAATAATGTTTAGGAATCTTTTACTTTGGAAAGAATCGTTTCTAGCCTTTAAAAATATGCTCTTTAGATAGGATCAGATAGATTTTTGCATACCGTAAAATTGCGAAAATAAGCCCCTCCATGTATAAGCCCCTCCAAATATAAGCCCCCCAAAATCGTAACGCAAAAAACCCTCCGTTAGATCGCCCCTCCGAATATAAGCCCCCCGGGGGGCTTGTACTTGGAATTGGCCCTCGCATTTAGATACTCGCTTTTTTTGCATATTTTCCAAAGGGGTTAACCCATGATTTTGGTGAAAAAGTAGAATTTTTTTCAATTACCTTTTTTGGGCTAAAATCATCTTGAAATAATAATTGGGGATCTTTTAGATCGAAAAGAATCTTTTCCCGCCTTTAAAAATATGTACTTCAGATAGTCGCATTATTGCATTTTTTTTTTCAAAGGGGTTAACCCATGATTTTGGTCAAAAAAATGGCATTTTTTTTATTTTCTGTTTTTGGGCAAAAATGATCTTGAAATAATGTTTGGGGATCTTTTCGGAAGAAAATAATCGTTTTTAGCGTTTAAGAACATGCATTTCAGATGGCTGCATTTTTTTTCCAAGGGGGTTAACCCATGATTTTGCTTTAAAAAAATGGCAACTAATCTTTAAATAATGTTAGGGAATCTTTTTGCAATGGACAGATAAAAATGAAACAAATCTTGCTGATGAAAATATGCACTTCAGATAGTCGCATTTTTGCATATTTTCCAAATGACATTTTTTTTCAGTTTTTGATTTATCGCAAAAATGATCTTTAAAGAAATTTTGGGGATCTTTTAGATAGAAAAGAATCGTTTCTACCTTTAAAAATATGCACCTCAGATAATCGCATTTTTGCCTGATTTCTAAAGGGGTTAACTATCATCATCAAGGCAAATAGTTTTCAAAATAACAGCAACCTGGAAATTTTTGGTCTATGAGTTATCACTGCGATAACTGAAATCTCTTTTTTTGCACTCTTTCGTCTGTACAGTCCCTTTGTTTTTCTATTTTTATTGGCAATTTTTCTTTGCTACTATCATTATTTTAATTTACTATGTATTGTAATCTTTAACTGCTGCATGCTAATTTGAAACATTGTAAGTACAAATATGTATAGCACTAAAAAAACTTAGCTTATGATAAGTCTAACTTGACGATACCTACCCGCCTTGACTTGTTTTTTAACTATTTGTGGGTAGGTACCATTCACATTGTCACTATGTGTTTCTTAAAAGGTGTGTTGTTGTTGGTGGTGGTGGTGGTGGTGGTGTTACGATCTTGGACGTCTCGTCCGCTGTTCGCGGACTTGGTTGTCGGGGCGCTTCACACTCTCTTAAAAACGCAAAATGAATTTTAAAACAGAAAAAATTGACTCTCGACCCTCGACAATTCGACCAACAGTCGGACTCCTTTTTGCATTTTGATATGTTCAACAAGCATTTTGAGCCGTGTCAATCAAAGAGTCTGTCATTCTTTATAAGAGAAAAGAAAACAATTTTGAGTGAGAATCCTGCTGAACGTTTAGTGGACTCATTTGTTTTATTAAGATACAAACACCCCACCTCTCCTTTATTAATCATTAGTTTACAGCTGCGATAATTTTCTCTTAGTTTCCTGTTCTTGAATTACTCAAACTGTTTTTACGCCTTAAAGATCAGTAAGAACAAGTTTATTTTTGCAGGTTTTTGTATAAAAGTTTCATATTAAGTGCATTTAAAGTTCGTGGGAGTACACCAATGGGAACAGCACTGGAATATAGTCCAACAACTCTCTCCCTTTTTACGACAGCTCTGGTTCCCGAATCTGCTCTTTGCGTCTGAACCCGTAGCAGGATCATCTCTCACGCCGTCAATTTCCTCGATCAATTCCTGACGATGAACAAAGTGATCCGCAAAGCCGCCAGCAGTCACCACGAAGAACAGCCAGGCAGAGATCAAAGAAATCACCAACAGAAGCCTCATTTTGCTGTAAGAGAACGAAAATGTAATACAGTCAAACCCTTGTACAACGGTCACCCCAGGGAAATGGCAATGTGACCGTTAAATACAGGGTGCATGATTGCTATATACAGGTCAACTTTATGCAGAAAACATAAGGCCACTAAAATGTTTTGTAGTGTATATATACAGGGCCGTTCATCAAAAGTAAAACACAAACAGCGGTGATAAACATTGTGAGTTTTTGGCATTTTTATAAACCTGACGTTTCGTATGCTATTCAACATACTATTTCAAAAGTGATCTTAAGTGACCGTTAAAGAAAATGACGAGACTAATTGATTGATTAACTTATTGATTGTACAACCTTTGCACAGCCAGCTGTAAACAAAGTCGGTTAGTTACGGTAA